GTTACTACCCAAATGGGTTCAATGTGCTAGTATTTGCATATATTTGCACAGCGACGATTAGATTAAAATGCGATTTCCTTTGAACCGCAACCAGTCATCCACCGTGAGTTCGTCCCGAAAATTGAAATATAACGTTAATTGTTTTAGTTGTTCTTTGGACCAGGTCATGAACACAAAAACACGCCCCACAAGGCCCCACAAGTAGCTTCTGTCTCCGTATGACTTCTTATCTCTCAGTCAAATCGTTAATGCCAGCCGTTGTACCAGAGTGACTGCTGTGAGTTCTTCTTGTTTGTTTTTGACTATCGGAAGATGATCTCTTGACACAGCGTTCGCGATGAACATCTGCATCCTCGGGATGTACACTAGGTCTATGATGTATTTTTGCAACCTGAGAAGCATTTGTTTAATATGTCGAGGGACACTGTGCTACCATCTACTAGCTATGGAGCTCAGCGGCTTATGGTCAGTATACATGGTAGTCTTTCTCTCGTAATTCAAATTGTTGACTCGTTCCATCGCATAGAAGACAGAGAGCATCTCTATCGCAATCTGCGCATAGGGCTGTTCAGCAGCCATGTGCCCCAGACTGTGGAAATCCAAGGGTTTATCATCCTGTATGAGAAGGGCGTTTATTCTGCTCCGATGGCTGTTACACTGCGGCTGCAAATGCAGAGGTGGTTCGTAATAAACGAGTACTGCTGCACCGGTAAGCGGATGCTTGATGGGTGTACAATCGACATATTGCTCTTTTCCGCAACTGCTTTCTTAGTCAGTCTCTTGATGGACGGCATAATTCCAGCAAGTGTCGGCAAGAATCTACCCAAATAATTCACAGTGACATTACAGTGACATTGAAACGGCTAACAATTTTTTATCTACCTGGGTTGTGGCATCTTTAGTACAGCCTAGCTTCTTCCGAGGTCGATCGTTATTTCTTCGGATGTCAGGACGTGCCCGTGTACAATCACTTCCGGTTTTCAGTGCTCAAGTTTCTAGCTTTTGAGCTTTAAGTTCTTTTGAGAGCATGGCTAAACAACGTGATGCGAAGTGGCGTCATGCTCCTTGTTGGTCGAGCGGTAAATCAGTAGAACGTCTGCTACACCGTCTGGACCTTCAACCAATTACCATAACGGATTCTGAAAAATTTACTCGAAACCTTTAAACCAAACGGTAAACATAGCCATAGAAAATGTTTAAAGGTGCCGCCAGTGTTGTTAAGGAACTGGATTCTTCTTCTGGGACCCGTTGTCAAAACGCCGACGACAACTCAACACGGGTGAATTAATTTGTCTTGGCCGAACGTGGCAGGACATATTCTTACATTGGCAGAGTACCGTGTTATCTAGGTAAAGCTTCTTTCAATGGCTTAGGAACTATGCACAGACGCAAATCACAGTGCATATTCGTAGCAATCGCAACTTCGCTAATCCAGTCTCTTGGCTTGTCGACCTTATCTATTACGTTCAAATGCATCAAGTTAAATAACTCGGTGGCGAATTAGTCACCTAAAGCAAACTAAACCCATCTACTCGGAATCGCAGTCAGTAGTATAGACGGATCCAGTTATAAATGAACGGATACTTGAAACGTTCCTGTACTATGACTAAACACGAACGGAAACTATTAACCTTACGGTTAACATAGCAATGCCAAGCCACTGGATAAAATCGATGCAGCGAAGCGACGTAATTTCTTCCGCCACGATCAGGACTTCTGACAGATATAAAGAGCCCTCTTGGGCTTGATCACATTGCTTGTGGCCATAACTTAAGCCGAATTTTGGAATCGTCCCGCGTGAGCAGCTATGGCTTATCAGGTTGCACATGAATTCCTGTACATCGCTTCGCGGGTACTATGTTGATGGTAGCGCCCGTAAATTGGGAATCCACGATTTCGCAACCTACCAACAAACCTGCGTAGATGCAATTCCTTGACCCCGTACGCGACACCATGCTGATCAAATGTCCGGAGTCGGACGGTGATGTGACACGGTTGAGTGCACTCACGTTAGAAGACTAGTAGCGTCAAGCGAAATGATTTCGTCTACCCTATTTATCGCAACCTTGACGCCAAGCCAGACATTGATCACGAGCTTTTGGCTGTCATGCGGCGCAAAATTTGTAAGTTTCTTGTGTCTTGGTAACAGCCATCGTAGTTTTTACACACAAGCTAAATAAGGCACACAGCTCTGTATCAGAACACGACCGCATGTGCTGGATGTGTCGTGCATCTGACGAGTAACCGAAGCACATATCAAGTCACTGTCTGTGCGATAAGTGTTTTTTCCACAATATCCGACTGGTGATGTTTTTCTCATTGGTCTCCAGCACAAGTCTGTCTCGGATGAAACTGTCATTCTTACAATTGCAAAATCTACAGGAACGAGCAAAGCATCTTAGATCTGTTTATTGGTGCTTGACATATTCATTCTGGCCCCTGGTTGGAGTAAATAAGAGATAGTGCTGACACATCTCGTTTGTCTGGCCCTCGCCGAAATCGTCCATGTTTGGGATGACTCCTTCCAGACCCGCTGGTTCTACGTCATTTTACTGCATCATTTCCAGGACGCGGTGTGCTTCAGCACCGATCGTATATCGAAATAATGCCGGGTGATCAGGCCATCGGTTCTTCATTCAGGACGCACTTGTACGCAAGAATCCATCCACTTGTTCTTCCAGCTTCTCCAACTACCGACCAAGTTGCGTTATTTCATATACAAAGGTGAAGGCTATGCACAGCTATATGCGCTCCATGTAAAAACTGATCACAGTCCCGTGATTTTGTTTGGCATTCTCTGACATCATGACGCAGAACTGGCTACTTCAGTGACAAACGGTTACTTTGAAATAACAAGCCCAGCATTATGGCAGCATAATCAGCATATAGAAAAAGCGATGTAAATAACTACGTTCAATCCATAAATAGCGGCGCTATGGCATTCAAGGGAATTTTTCTTTGAATGAGTTAAACAAACCTGCTCTACTTTAGCCAAAAAGAACCAATGGGTGCGCAGGCGAAATAGCCGTAGGCTAGTAAACCACTGCTATGTTCGACTGCCGCAAGTTAGCCACTTGCATCACCAAGTCAATCCGTATAGTTCTACTGTTTGAACGATTCCTTTACACTATTATTACACTATTATTACACTATTATTACACTATTACTACAGGTCAACCTGCTATGGTGACAAACTGTCAATGGTGACCACCTGTCTATTACGATAAACTAAAATCATCCCCCAGGATTTCTCCTATGAGCAATGTTCAAATAAATGAATCTGTCCATCTGTCTAAGGCTAACACTGTCGGCCCCTTGAGTGGTCGACTTAGACAGGGTAGACTGCAAAAAGTTTTAAGGAAGTAGCCGTTTAGATAATGCTAAAAATCGAACAGTGAATCTCAACCAGTTGCTGGCCAGGTTGATGGAAGCGGTCATCGTCAAATCTCTGGGGAAATACCTGACAAAATACAGAGTCTTGACACTGAAACAGTATGACTTTCTTTAACACCGGTCGTACACAGCCAGTCTGTTGATGCTCTCATGTGCTTGGGCAAAATGATCGATGGTGGAGTCGGAATCGACCACATCAATTGATACATCCGTTAAGTTTTCGACTACCTGCGTCACCGCATCATACTTCAGAGGCCACAGAGCTATAAAAGCTGAGACCCTATTCTGCGCTAGATTGCAAATTCTGTTCAGCAACGAAGGCTTCACTTGCGTACTTATAGATAACTATCCAACTGTTTGGAGGAGGAATGTAGGATTTCACACTATCGAAGCTGCAAACGTTCCAGTTGCTATAGTTTATCAGATAGCTGACAAATGTTGTCTAATCCAATTTCCTTTCGACGATGAGATTAAAATATGAATATCGATTAATCTTAAGGAAGATAACGATTTCTTCCAGCATGGTCTAAGTTCAAAAGACGGAATATCCCGAGGAACATACCCAATTTCAACCCCCATAAGTGTAAGCTGATCCACTTGCGTCGTCAGCCAGTGAGCTTTTACAAACTTGGAGACCACACATTGCAGTAAGCCATCCAGTAGTGTGACCTGGTTTCACTGGTATTAGACGATCACAGATGCTCGAAATAAGCACGGGACGCCCAAAGATCCGCCAATCAACACATTGGCATCTTACCCAGACAGTTTGGATGATCTGACCCTTAAATCTTCCTACAATTGCCAAACGCCTATGTTCGACCCGATGTGGAATATGTCAACCAAGCGTGGTTCCCTTGGATTTGGTTGTTTTCGAAATTCCTAAATGAAGAGTGATCAAGAGGCTTCTATCGCCTGTCCAAATAGCTTAATTGGAATCCATCGGAATGCCTTGCAATTGATGCTGCAGTTTAAAGAGGAACCTAATATTGCTTCACTAGATTCAAAAGAACCTAGGCGGTATTTGTCGTTCGTTGCCTGGATTGAACCCCAAAACAAAAATAATAGGTCATAATATGAAACTAAACATACAAAATGACACGGAGAAATGCTATTAACATTGCAATTAATTTGATTGTGTCAGAGAGAAAGCGCTATCTAAAACAATGTCGATTTTGCTCTTAAATTAGCAATATATAAATCCAAATTGAAAAACCATTCTCAAACCCATTTTTCGTTATAAGCGTTTGAGGCGCTACTTAACGCATACAAACAATGTGTTTCCAAAATTCACCCAGTGCCTTTAGGGACTATAAATTTCATCGTGCAAAAGTCTCGGCTACTGAAACCTATCCAATTTGAGTCCAACAAAAATCTTCACATTTCATCAAGGAACATAAATATCATGTATTCCCATCACAAGGGAATGGACAGGTTATGCAATCTTAGTCTTAGCACGCCAATGTACGATGGTTCCATTATATATGAAACCAATGTCAACACGGAGCAATTTAATCATCTGAAATGATGCTGCACAGCTCAAAATGATTGCGCTGAATACATATTGAAATTTCAATTAACAGTCGAACAAGATAGCCAATTATTGTTACCTTAAGTGCAGCTTGCTCGCAAGCAATACAAATGGGTTTCGGATTTTTGTGTTCTGCCACTATGTGATCCTCTTCAACAGGTACTTTTGACTCAGTGTCCTCATCCGAATCGCGCTCATTGCATTTAACCACATGAGGTTTTGTGCACTGTCCATGTTGAAAGCTGACCACTGGAGTGCCAGTTGATTGCTTTGAAGTATCTAACAAGCAGCTGGCTAGCATTTTCTGAAGTGGAGAATGGGGAACAAAGTTCTCAGTTTGGAAGTTGTTTGTGCAACACAGTTTAATTAAAGTGAATGGATTTGGTTGCTTACCTGCTTCAACATAGTTCCGTTTTCTAAAACCCTCAGCAGGTTGACCTGACTACTGAAGGTCAGCTTACTGTTACATTCTGCAAAGTTAATTTTGGTTTACCTTGCGGAAGTTACTGGATAACATTATGACTTACATTTTACAATCACGGCGATCATTGACCAATGCACAGCTCATGGTAATCTTTCTAATTATCCTGCACGTTCAGACAACAGGTCAACCAAATTTGTTCAAGTGTTTCCGATTGTCAGTCGCGCAGTTTGTTCTGTAACGCCTATGATAGTTGCCACTCCGTAACTAGTCACCTGTAGAGGGCACATGACATTCCGCTTTGCATAATATGATCGTGGCGAGCTCAGCGCTCAGGTTGCGACATCCCAGTTAGCGGAACGCACACCGTATTGCCTGAATCCGTTTAACAGATCGGCAACCCCTCTACGTATTCAACAAGGATTCTTGCGGTGAGCTCAATTTTTGTTTCGCATAAAAAACAACTTATCAAACTTGGCAACCTATTTGTCCCGCCTATGTCATAGTTTGTATGGCGCAGACACTCAATTTCGCTGATGCCTCGAAGCTACACATGTTCCTCTTCTCCGGATGAGATCCTACCACTTTAGCCTTCCTATAAATGAATTGGTTGAAATCCCAGTGATCAGATTCCTCGCAATGACAACGTTTGAATTTGTCCGCAATTCCACCGGATGCTTTATATCTCCTAATCAAATAATTTGTCATGATAACTTGGAAACCCCTCATCCATGAACTATGCAGACAAATTATTCCAAGCTTGCTTTACAAATGCAGCTACTTCTTAATCCCGCTTCCTAGTTTTGCATTTTGATTTTATGTAGATTTTAAGCAAACTTGTTGATGTTGCTTTTCTTGCGACCTTTTCTTCCGAATAATTTTTGATGGATGGACTTTCGTTGTGTGGATAAACTGTCAGATGCTGGCTCACAGTATTTTGCGAAACGTCCCATCCGTTAAATTTGTCCGAACTTATGTTATTCAATACGTGTCATTTTGTACATAGCTAAACCAGAAACTGTTAAAACTAAATTGTTATTAGACTTATTACAGCAATTTTTCATGTGCGGTCTCATTTTTCCAACTGAGCATAGTTGCTTTTGATAGCAACCATCGCATTTTACTCGTACAGTGCTTGCTTCTCTACGCTTACATAATGTGCTTATTTGGCGAAAACGTTTGGTTCTGCGGTTCGCGTCTAGTATACATGACAACGTTTCTGTAGCGGATAAATTGTTGTACATTTGTTCCTTTGTGTTTGTTTCATTTATGTTCGCGCTACTTACATTTCTGCTAACGATACTCTTGTACAAAACGATCATTTAGAACAGATAAATTACAATGAACGGTTTAATTAGTTTTTTATTCCCTAGTCCTACTAAAAGGAAATAGCGCTTGATATACGTAAAAGAAGCAATCAAATACACTAAGTCAAACACGAAGCTTTTTGAATCTTTCCGATTAGATAAAATCTAGGATTCATAAAACACTGGTTTACCTACCTGTGTATGTGTCACTGGTAACTAGATAGGTAATTAATGAAACAATCCAGTTGCACGTTTCGATCGGCCAGAAAGCGGGCTCACATAGAATCAGCTTTATTTTATTAAGCACTGAATCCAGCCCGGAGATCAACAGCAAATAAACCAACTTACCAATTATCTTCACGCGGTAATCATTCCTCTTGCCTTATTCTTCATTGCTGAGTAATTGTTTAAATAAACTGAAACAATAGGCTCAATTTTGTACATGCTTGAGCACATGACTTATAGGTGCATTCCGTTTCAAACATTCGATCTTACTATTCTTCCTCTTCATCATTGCTAAGCTATTAGCTACCCTGCGATTTATGTGCATCTTGACTCTAAACAGACCAAACACCAGCTGATGCGACAATGCAATTGCACGCTGAATTCGTTTACATTTTAATTCACTAATTTCATCCACCATCTCCGCTGAAATGATATCAACTGCACTGTCACTTGGACTTGAAAATGCCAGGGTTGCCTCTCCACAGATAATTTTCGTTTGATCTCTGAGCTGAACAACATTGCTGAAAACATGTCGTCACCACTCGGGGTACCATCGTCAGTGCCTCACAACTTGGCGTGCAACCTCCTTGAGTGCTTCGTCGGCTCTTGATCGATGGGTAAGTTACGTTTGAAGCTGATCACTTCGCTTTATATCACATGACCTTCGGTGGTTCGTTGATCGACCGCCGGCGCGAACTGCCTTATATTGCATTTTCCGATGCGTGCAAGTTGTTTCTTTCTCAGTGGTTAGTAAATCGGGTCCATATCTATGCACAGGTATATTGAGTGTTCACTAGTTAAACAGGCGAACGAGAACTCTCTGCTTTTGCTGGTTTCTCCCCGCGCAAGAATTGACGTGTTGTTCCAAGCAAACCTATGTCCTTCCTCACCAACATGTGCTGAGACCAGAGGTGAAAAGTAATGGTTACGGTAAACCAGATTTTGATCTTTTATTCCGTGCTAATAAATTTGCTCCCTGTTTGGCTCACATAGATTTTCACGCAGGGTTTTCACAGTATCCTGTAAAAAAAATTAATTCGTTCATGTGCCTTCAACTGATCGTTCGGTTTAGAATAGGTCCCTTTAAGAGTGGCTGTTGGTATGCGAACAACCATCTGATAATGCGGTTTGAGAAATCTGGCCGTCATTTCTGATAAGTTCTTGACATACGCCAAAGCCTGTCCATCTGGTTATTGGTAAACCGGTCAGAAACCAAATTCTTTTGTCCGAAACAAGTGAAATCCACCCTGAGTAGCTGGACACGAAAATGTATGGACGTGCAGGATTCGGCCTGACACGCTTATAAAGCTTGTCGGGATTCGCGAGCCTGATGAGCCGACAGAAATCAGCGAAATCACTGTGTCAAATTGGTCCGCGAATACCAACTCTTACTCCAATTAGACTTAGTGACGAAATTCACTACTAATCCTTTTATGCTCTGCAGCACGCATTCCCAACCCAACTTCAGTCTTTGCTCCATTAGAAATTTTCCATTTCTTATGGCCCTAAATTACCCACATTTCAGATATCCACGACATGTATGGGACGTTCAAGTAGTGATCTTCAGTGGGCATATCGTTAACCTTTGCATGATACCAAATATTTAGTGTTTCTTGCCCTGCTCTTTCTGATATATGTAATATATTCCAACTATTGTAACCTCAAGATAACACTCGTTTTGTGGCAACATCAAGCCACATGTTTGTAATTACACAGAGTCACCAAAATAGTTATAATTGCATTTAATGATCCTTAGCTTCCGATTGTAAATCCCGTGATGAAATAAGCTGTGTAGGAACGGCTTAGCAAAGTTTCTTTGAAAATAATAAATGGAGCAGTAAGGCTGATATCCCTTAACAAGCTTGCTTATGCCCGCCTCCAGACATGACAACTAGATTAGCAATTGTTCTGCTTGCTATGAGGTCCATTCAGTTTCTCCGTTTTGTTAGCTAATCCATCGTGATGTATCCAAATTCAAGCACGAATGTGAATGAGAAAGCGAGGAGATATAGTTCAACTAATTCCCACAGTCTGGGATATCTGTTATGTGAATCATCCTTTATCCACAAAGCGCTTTATTACTGCATGATTTTGGATCCTGCTTGTGTCCTGACTTGAAGCTCCATGAGACTTTCCTGGATTTTAACAAACATTGGATGGCTGTACATCAAATGGATTTAAACTAGAAATTAGGATTTCCATGTCAATCAGGTTGTGAAATCAGTCACACATATCTTGTCGGCGTTCTTTTGAATGGGTGGCACAAATAATAAAGTCAGCTTCCTTCAACTCCTCCGTAAACACAACGACAATTGAGAACTGTGAACATTCCGACGCTTTGAGCAATAATCGCTCGGTTGTTCAAGTTGAGGTTATTCAACTTGAATTGAAGGATTTATCCGGGGAAATGTAAAAACTTGAATGAGACTATATTATGTTAGCAATTAATCATTTGACTCGATTGGGCATTTGTTTCAATCATTCCGGAATCATACAATCTTTCAAATGAACGCAAACATAGGGAGTTTTGGAAAGGTAGCTGCAAATATTGAAAGGTGAGTTATATTTTCTGGAAGCTGAAAGCCATTCAGCTGTCGATAATTTTGGCGGCTTTCAGGCTAGGTTGTTGCTAGTTTTGTTGTATATTTATTAACACGTTTTTCTCGGTCGGAGTATTTGGACTTTGATCTTTCTCTTAGCTAGGATATTTACGAAGAATTTTGGAAGTTCCTTTCGGAATAGCGAGAGAACTTGAAGATGTAACAATGGCTGCGGACAAACACGAAAATTTGACGATGTTATCTGGTGAAGCGTTTCAAAAACTGCTTCTTCCGCAACAACCCTAGAAGGAAGCACAAATGAACTTATTGAGTGTTTGATGACTTGATTAAATTTATAGTATACCGGAGCAGTTACGCAGGACGCGCAGGCCGTTTCACTTGATTTTCTTACGAAATCAACCACTGAATTTCATTATGATGCTGATTCCGAATGGACTTCAGAGGCATGGTTTAAATGCTGGTTGGACATGTTTCGGACGGATTATAGGGGTCAATATTTTTTCTAGGAAATTGCGTCTTTCGCGCCGCAAGATCGGTACCAATGAACATTCAAAATTCGTCGTCTACATCGTGCCCAAAGAGCCGAAGAACATCACTAGCAAGGAAGCAGTGGCAATACACATGGGACGTTTTGGTGAGTCAAGCTATTTTTCAAGCATTCGCTACCAATGTTTACAAACTGGTAAGCGGGTTAAGTACGATTATTCAGCACTAGCAGACATGGTTAAAAGTGTATTCCAACGTTCCAAGTTACGCCATTTGACAGATGACCAGTTTAATTGTCTCCTATTTGTCAGCGCATTGTAGTCCCTACGTGACTTGGAGATCCGCAATCGGCTCATGTCTAAGTAGGATCAACATCCCGATTTGACATTGTAGTCTGTTTTAGGCGAATGCAAACGTTTGATCACTTTGAAACAGGACACCGCTATGAATGAGCAGGTTTGCCTCACCATTGTCGATATTGTTACTGCTGTGGAAAAAGCAAGAAAGGCTGGCTTGAACAAGCAGTCCAAAAGAGCGTGGAACAAACTGTGTACACCGTGGTTGTTATGTGGTGAAGGGCAGTTCGCAAGATGCTGTCCATTCAAGCATGATATTTGTGATGTGACATAAATACTGCCACAAAAAAGATTTTCGCCGTCAGTCCCGGCCGAGTAACCTGAAACTGTCCTACGGAAGGAAAAACATCAAATGGGACCATATCGCTCACGTTTGTAATGGATAATCCAAAGGCATGTGAACAAGCTCTGGGAAGTTCAGCGCGTGATCCTAATTGTAACTGAAGCAGCAGTCCGGTGCACAAGACGCATGACGCGCCGAAGGCGGTTCGGCCAGAGAGTTTCCCGAACATACTGAAGTGATGCATCACCTCATCCGTACATGACACAGCTCACTGCGCAACCAGGATTGAACCAAGCATTCTTCACCTCAGACCTTAGGCTATAAATAAAATCGACATAAACCATGACGAACCGCTGGCCCGGTTCTTCAAACTATGACTTCAGGAATTACAGGCTCCGAACATTTGGAAACAGCAAACAGTTTCTATCCTTTTCTTCATGGGTGGGAATCGCGCGGTTAATTTTATCTGTCGTCCAGTCACTCTCCTCGAAGTGGTCTCCAAATTTATGAAACGAATAATCACAGAAGATCTGCTGGCATACCTCGAGACTATAAAGTTCATAGTACCACAACAGTATGCATTCCGATGGCATCAGTGTTGCACAGCAAGTTGTTACTTGTCCGAGCAAGCTGGACGAAGTCAGCAAATGCCAGACAAGTTGATGTCTATATACGGACTATTATAAAGCATTGATCGCATGGAAAAACGACTTATTCTTTAGAATATTTGAAGGGGTGGAACCGAAATATCAATGACGACCTGATGAGGGGTTGTCCAAATCGCATTAACTTTTATGACATTTGTGTGCCAGGGAGTTACATAACGCAATGAAACAGCGTGTCTCCAAAATCTACGTAATGCTTTCACGCATTTTCACTTCCATCACGCAAAAAATTCCACTACTCAAGCCTGCCCATTTTCAGTCCTCCAAAACCCATCTAATTACTTCATGAAATGTAACTACTCAATTGTCCTCATCCCAAGGGACTTGTTAAGATTCGCAATATTATGCTTTGCAAACCTTTGTCTCATTATTCCATTGCATAAGCAACCAAGGTCAACACGGAGCAATTCAACTAACCGAAATGATGCGGCACAGCTCAAAATAATTGCGCTGAATACATATTGAAATTTCAATTATCAGTCGACCAAGATAGTCAAGTATTGTTACCTTAAGTGCAGCTTGCTCGCAAGCAATACAAATGGGTTTCGGATTTTTGTGTTCTGCCACTATGTGATCCTCTTCAACAGGTACTTTTGACTCAGTGTCCTCATCCGAATCGTGCTCATGGCATTTAACCACTTGAGGTTGTGTTCGCTTTCCATGTTGAAAGCTGACCACTGGCGTGCCAGTTGATTGCTTCGAACTATCTAACACGCAGCTGGCTAGCATTTTCTGAATTGGAGTGAGGGGAACAAAATTCTCAATATAGACGTCGTTTGAGTAACACAGGGTAATTAAAATGAATTGATTCGGTTGCTTGTCAGCTTCATCAAATTTCCGTATGGTAAAACACTCAGCAGCTTGGCTTGACCACTGAGACTCATCTTAGGGATTTGTTATGGTGTATATTGTGCGTTGGTCACATAATGCAGCGGTTTGCTTTGTATTAGATTGTGGTACATTACACTGGATTGCGTTGTTATATACATTTGGACTAAATACGACGAATGCTGGAAAAGCAAAACCCATCGCATTAGTTCTAAATCTACGTTCTCTTCAAGACATACGGTCAGTCAAATTTGTTCAAGTGTTTGTGTTTGTCAAGCGCACAGTTTGTTCTGTAACCAGTTGTGCTTGCAACGACTGCAACATACGCCACGAAATTTATGGGAGTAAAGGAAAATTTTCCCTTTGATCGGGATCACCTCGCCCAAATTTTGAGAGCACACAGCATTCCTCTTTTTACAATTGATCATGGCTAGATCAGCTTAGATATTGCGACATCATCATTTACAACATGCACTCCGTATTATTGAATCCGTATAGCATTCGGACATGCGTTCGTTTTGCAATACACTAGAATTCATTTTGATTTGGATATACCTTTTTATTACATGGGGGAACAAATATTTATCATATGTGCCAAGGTCGATTTTGCATCAGAGACTCGAACCATTTTTCGTCTAATAATATGGTTACTTTTCTAAGTGTGTTGGGTACATCCAATTTTAACAACTTTTTCATAAGACGCGTTGTTTACATCCGTTATCACTTTCAACTTTTGGCCAAATTCTGACTATGTGCTCAATTTCACCGGCGGCACTATTTCTCTACCATATAATTTGTCATGGAAATTTGCATACCATTCCCCTAAATGTTACGAACTTATTGTGTCACGCTCTGTCTGCTTTTGCAACGGCTGCAGGTCTCCGCTCTTGACTTGTTCGCGTGTCATCCATCGTTGTATTTACTATTTACACTATTTGCTCGCACTTCCACATGTTAACACCAATTTTCGTATGTATTGTCTATGATGTTTATATTTAACTTCAACTCGACTTGTGGACATGGATTATGCAATGCTCTCCCAGCTTAATTCTTACTTGCGACAACTATCGTTCCCAGTTTGTTCTACATCCACTTTCTGGCTTTAATAGCCTGGTTCAAGGAGACACTTTTGCGACCCCAATTTCTGATTGCCTATTGAGTGAGTTCTAATCATAAAACAGGCGCACTAATCTCATGTGCTTGTGGCTCTTCGGGTGACTTTTACTTAAACAAAATACTGCTGAGAACCTGCCGTCCACGAAATGTTCGAAATCTTTAAGCATTACATTGCTAATGAGATTTTTGACCTCCCAGATGTTCTACATTCTATCTGTTAATGCCCAAGACATACCTAGTAAACGTTTGGGACTGTGACTCCATCAGAGATAGTAGGCACGTAACCTTGCTACTCTAGATTTAATTTTGGTACAATAATCTGAAGTATCTTGCCATTTACATATGTACTAAATTTAACGGCCTTTGACGAAATCAAAACTTATAGTACTCTTACTAAATTTACTTCACTTCCACAGCAATTGATCAAGAATTTCGGGACAGGACAAACCTTCCCATCTTACTTGTTGCATAATAAACGTGCAGTCTAGTTTCACAGAGTTTTACGTTTTCCACTTCTCCTAGCGCATTTAGCATACACTTAATCTAATCGGAATAACTCCCAGAGTTCAGTGGACATATTGTTACAGAAGCATTTGCTACGAAAAATGATTTGGATTACACAAGTTTTTGTAGCGCACTTCGTACTTCTATTCACACGCGCCAATCCGTTGGTCTTAACAGTTTCCACTGCTACTACACTGTGATCGACCAAGGATTCTCCGCGCTGTTCGGTGGTCCTAGAATTACATACACAGAGTCATTTCTAATGAAACTACGACTGAATCTCTGGTTTCAAATGCATCCGCCCATCGCCGGCAGTTGCTGCTGTCAGCCACCCAATACAAGCCACTCCCAACGGCTTTGTCCTACAGGACTGAGTGGGGATCAATAAGCTAGCCAAACTCCGTGCATGTATGTCCTGGTCGTGCACACCCGCCCACGGCCACGGACGTCTACAGCGCGACTCAGCCAAAGAAGGCGAGCGTCACTCGCCATCTACCTCACATGGCCAGACAAGGGCGGTGTTGAATTTCAACAACAGTCCCCAACGGAATTTATTCCACCTAACAGTAAATGTGGGAAGCAGGAGAGTATACGAGCAGTTAAACGAGGCATTATTTGTGCATTTTGCGAACTTCCGTACCACCCCCTCTGAGCTGATTTAAGTCAACTACAATACAAGAGACAATTCAACCCGACTGATTGTTGCCAAGCATACAGAGCAAACTCAATAGTCAAATTTATAATACCGTTCTAGAAAAAGTGCGAAGAACTGACGGAACGACTCGAACAGTTGGCAAATTTCAGGGTTTTGCCGTTAGAATCTAACAACACCGATCTTACTCTCCAACGAAGCCCTCGAAGCACCGTCCTTAAGTCGAAGGCTAAAGTCTGGCTTGCTAACCGCTCGACGGCATCTGCGCTACCTACTCCGACATTTACTAACCATTTAAGTAAACAAGACACATCCAGCTTGACTGCTATTAACCCATGCCTAGACGCCATACCTCAAGAGTTGGTCACAACACCAACACCGACAGTCCAGTGCCGAATAACATACGCATCGATCGCTCGATGAACAGGCCTCAAGAGACTCATCTAGGTCCAATTCCTGGACCAAACACTAGCGATGCGACGCCGTGTTCACTACGTTCTTTAGTGCCCGCCAAACAATCCAAGTTAACAGCCATAACACGCAGAACACCATTCGATAAACCGAAAAACACTGCGTTAACGTGCATGTGCAATAATGTTCCTGAGTCCGGTTCTGGCACAATAAAGGGCAAGTTGGCAGATTATTGCAACCACTGGCATTTCCTCTGCGATGCCGTAGGTATTCGGGTTGACCCAACGGGGCTACGACGTTTAGCGCGTCACCCAAATTCAGTGAACTACGGCGAACTCCGATTACTTCGTATAACCTTTAATTTAACTGAGAACACAGAGATAGTCCTACTCACAGAAGTTCAGCATCGCAGCTCATCGAGCGGGGTATGCATACAACCCGACATTTCTTGGAAAGGACGGTCAAAGAAAAAAGAAAATCATGGCGGCCCTTCCAAGAACGAAAGCATAAAGGGTATTTGTCCATGGTGTTCTTTAACAACTGGGCTACCTGAGCAGGAAGCGTAAAATCATGACCGAGAGCAGTGGTGCTACATTCCCGAAGCACTCTCTCTGGACCACATTATTGTTAAATCACTAACCAGAATTCCCTCATCTCCAAAGTATAAGGGCTACGGTCCAAAAGTATTGAACGTCGTTCTACACTCCGATGGAATGACAGAAGTTCTATCAGACAGCTGCTTGAAGCATCGCTTCAAGTTGCCTACCGAGATTAGGCTAAAGAAAACAGGCGCACAGCCACTGGTTTTCTGCATTTCATTGAAACATGCAACCTCAGCAAAATATTTCCCTCCACAATCCTGAGAGTTGTTGACAACATGGCATTAGCGAAACCTGACGGGACAGGGAGACACACGATGAAACATCTCGCTCTGGGATACTCCATGCTATCATGCAGCTTGACTGAAATTGAAGAACCAATGTCCCACGCAAAAACGATTAGCGGCCGACGGACGAACGGTCGGCTAAAAACTAAACACCAAGTTGATGTCCACCTACAACTATCTAACATCAAAATCACTATCACCTTTCTATATTAACGCCCAATGTCTGCTTAGTTCTTGAGCGGAACTTAGGGAACGCCATTTTTCCCAACCGCTGGATCCCATTTTGATTACAAGGACTTGGTTAGGCTTTGAAATTGCAAGTTCTGTAGTCAGTTTACCTGGTATGTCACTGCTTCGGATTGACAGAGCTGAAATAGCTGGTGGCGTAATTCTTTAATACAAGGCTAACCACCGACGTGAGGTTTTAACCACCCAAAGATACTTGCCCCAGTTTTGCTTTGGTGCCGGCTATGGTTACAGAACAAAGACACATGTCTTTTAGCTGTGTTTTACCGTCCAGCAAACTCTACGTGTGAAATAGGCACTAAACTAAACTGCGCTCTTCAGATTGCTTTGAGCAGGACATGCGGTCACATTCTCATTATAAGCGAATTTAACGTGCACGATCTGGAAATATCGGTGACAGATAACATGCAGTTCAAAGCCTGTTTACAAGAGCTATTTTCCAGATACCGTCTGTACAAGAACGTGACCACTCGCACGAGATTTCGAAACGCAAACAAGCCGTGGATACTTGATCTTGTGCTCAACAACCAAGAATTCATGATGGACGGAATCATTAGAAGCACACCACTGAGTCGCAGCGACCAGGTGGCTCCAATGTTCAACTATGTATGTTACGCGGAATATCCTGAACATGAGGACGAGAAAGTATATACGGTCACGCACGACAATGAGTTATCCACGCATGTTAAGGTGGTATGTTGTACCAACTTAACGGAAAAACCCAACAAACCGCCTAAGACAATTTTACAGGGGCATTCGCTATACTGATAACGCACGCGTCTGTGCAGAAATCCTTCTATCGTCAAAGGAGATGGAAGTCGTTTCTGAGGAGCAGAACACGCCTATGCGTGTCCTTGAGGAAGTTAGTATAGAGAGCTCACAAGGACTCCCCGAATTAGAAAACTTGGACTGTCTATGTGGCACAGCCTAAATCCTGTGTGAGTTTGATCCGCGACGAAAACCTGACGCATCAGCCGGAGTTAATGAAGAGATTCTGCACTAATCGAAATCTCTTATACAGGCATGTTAATGGCTTTCGTAAGGAGCAACGCGGAATTCTAGCACTGAGCGCGACTGACGAGTGAACGC